TGCCCCGCTTCATTGCCTTAGCACCCTGGCCCGGTCGATGCTCCGCTATCCGCTAGCCCAAACACCACTGTACAGACAACAAGACGGTGACCACAACACCAAAATCCGCCCAGATGTGAGTAACGACTCACCTGTCGATTCAATCAGCCCCACCTGGATGGCACTGAAGCGTGCGATTTCTTCTCGGTTGTCGTAGCGGCTCCGGCATGGGCCCGTTGCTGATCCTGCAACGGGGATCCAGGTAAAGCAGGTGCTGGTGCAGATCTTGATGATAGTAGCACATATTCAAATTAGAACTTAGAAGACCGACGTGGGGAAGGGTTTCCTTGTGACAAGCTCCTGCAGACCCGCGGCTTCCTTCCGGGCGTGCGCGTCCCACTGCGCCTGGGCAAGGCTCACCACCTTTCCAGGTTCCAAGGGGCATGCTCACACACAAGCTTCTTACGACAAACAACGGGTGGCGGACTGCATGCCCGCGACGCCCCCCTGCTACCCTCGGGCTGCAGGCCCACAAGTCCGCTTGGAATGTTCTCCAATTCTTTTCTTCTCTAGGCTACATACACTCTCCAAACGGAAGCAAGAGAAGCCACGCCCACTGACACGCAGGAAGTCAAACAGGCCCTCCAAGAGAGGCGCGTGCTCAAGGTCCTCGACTGCCGTGACATCCCTTAAATGCGGCGTTACACTTGAGTCAAAGAAGGCCAGAACATAGAAAGAAATAAATAATAATGATAACAATAAAGAGGGATAAAATAAATATTAAAAAATAAATGGTGAAATCTAGGCACGAGGAAAGGGAACCGCTAATACCGCTCCAACTCTGACGGCGGCAAAACCAAAGGGGATAGCCCTCAACCCCTCGGTCCCTTCACGTTGCTCCAATACTCTTGCGCCGCCGCGCGTTGTTCTCGATCCTTGAGTCTCCAGGATGAAAGTTTGACACCGTAACCAATAGTGTTAGGCCCAAGGGTAAACCATATAATGGGTACCACGCGGCGCGCTGGTCTTCTGAAACGTTCCGAGGCCGCACTCTCAGCCTATCACCTAAAACCATGGCCGTCAAGCTGCACACCTACTGCACGTGTGTTCTCTCGCATACTCTTTCTATTACTTAGTGTCGTATTCTCGCCGATGCCGTCCTCTGTGTGAGCGCACGCACCGCTGTCAAGCGTACCAATCAAAAGTCAAAAACAATTAATCCTAGTTTCAATCCAAAATAAGAATTTGGCCGGCAACCACGCCGGCATTACAAGTCTACGCGCCCACACGTTCTCTACCCTTAGTCAACCATTCAGTCAACATAGCCGAAGACAGCCGCGACCCGCACGGCGTACTCAAATCTTTTAAGTCAACTCATTTTCTGTCACTTGCAAAAACCAGGGCGTATACCCTTGTAAGGGTATTCGCACCGACTGGTCAAAAGAAACCATATGGGAAACCACAATGGTGTGGACTGCAGAGGGAACCCCAGAAGTGTCAGCAGAAATGAGATTGCAGAGGTGTTGGCAGCCAAGGAAATGGCATGCATATCGTGAACACATGAGCAAGTAGGGGCAAGATGAGGGGCTGAGCGCGTCGTGCGAGGAAGGAGAAGGTGATGATGGATGGAAGCTACGTTGCATAACGTACACGTACGGGGCCTTTCCGTACGAAGCGTACAGGTAATAGCTGTACGGGAACCTGTACGTCTTGTACACCCCCGTACGAGAAAAAAAAAAACCAAAAAAAACATATGTGATGCAACAGCATAAAACAAGCAACATTTGGTTGAGCATCATCTGCAGATTCTTATTAGAATTTGAGAAAAATAATAAAAACAATACCAGATTAAAAAAAAGTCGTACGGGCCCCTAGCGTACAAGCAGCTTACGAGCAGAGGTGGGCACCCACAGTCACACCCACCTGCCCCACCCGACACACAAGGTGATTGGGTCGGGCTTGGGTCTACCTATGCCTCCTTGGGTGGATGACGGGCGTGTGCAGCTAGTGGGCATTTATGGGCCATGGGCGTGTCAATATTTGCTCTGGGTCACCTGTCGAGTGGGTGACAGGTGGGTGAAGCGTTGGCCTGGGTCACCCCACCGATAGACTCAGAATCACCCAAAAAAATCCCCCACACACACCAAAAAATAAAAGCGAACAAGGCCTTGGGTCCATTTGTGCAGTGCACAGGCTTGAGGTTGAAAGAGACGAAAAAAGCGGGCCTGGGTACAGTCACGCAGGGTCAACTGTTACATCGGGGCCAAGAAAAGAAAACAAAGAGCGTACTCCAACAGCTCAGCCCCTCGCCCAGTTTTCCTCTTAAAAAAGAGGGAGCGGTTCTAGCCACAGTAGGCGGCTAGATCCGTCCTCTTTGAACTTCGCGCTTGGTTAGTGATCTTGGCGAATTCGGAAGCCCGCCCCCAACTTACCTGGCCTTACCGCTGCGCGACACCATGACGGAGTGATGCTGGCAAGTGATGCAAGGCAGAGAGTTGGCGACACCCGTGGAGGAGTCGTGGGCAGGGCCGCATCGGCAACAAGCGGGTGCGGACGACAAAAAAAAAAGGTCTTGGGTGTAGGCGGGTAACTGTGTAGCACACCGAACATGTTCAGCGCCCCACCGAGCAGCCGAACGTGTTCGGACGCTCGGCCGAGTGGCAACCGAACATGTTCGACCGAGCGCAAATTAGGGGGCTGCCGAGCGCGTCCTTATGTGTGCGTGGTGTGTGGGGTGTGTGTGGGGTGTCTGGGGGTGCTTGTGTATGGTGTGTGTGTGTGTATGTTCAGGAGTGATGAGCGATGCCCCCCAGGCCCCCCCAACCCCTATATATAAAAAAAATAAATAAAAAAAAATTGATGTTTGGGCTCCGTCTATTTTGGGCCAAGTTCGGGTTCGGTACCGAGCGTTCGGGTTCGGTCACCAAGCCCGAGCACGATGCTACGCAGGCGGGTAATGATGTTCTCACGCTTGCGGGTGGGTCCGGGTGAGAACTTTCTCGGGTGGCGGGCGACTCGGGCGTGGGGCTGAAATTAAAAAACAAATTTTGGGTGGGCGGGGTCGTCTTGAGGTGGAAATTAAAATTCTTGGGTCGGGCAGGTGGCACAAAAATAAAATTGGGCAGGTTGGCTCACGGGTGAGAGAAAAAAAAAAATGCCCACCTCTGCTTATGAGTACAGAAGTACAAATCCGTACTTATACGAGAGTGTGTACAAGTGGCAACGCAGGAGGGAAGGATCATCCTGTGGAGAATCCTAATAGCTCAATGGTCTTGCTTCATCAAGCTGAAATTGGATATGGGATCAAGTGGTCCACAGAAAAGCAACAATTAGAAAAGCCAAAAAAATCAAAACTGAACATTTCTCAATTTGTACTCTTATCTTCCACTCCACAATATGCTCAATCTTGGTGAAAGCCCATTCTGTGAAAGAGAAGAGGAAAAAGCACGCGGTTAAGTGCTGGTGGTTTCAGGAAAAGAAAGGAGTTAATTAAATTCATTTTCCACTAGAAACCTACAGGCTACAGCAATAAAAAGATGCTCTTCTCACTCTCCCAAGTGTCGCCGTCCTTAGAAATTTCTAAAACAAAAAACAAAACAAAAAATCCCCACATAAAAACTTGGGAATTACCAATCTAGAGAGAGACATGTCACAAGCAATAGGGTAGCAGGTCTATCCGTTAGGTTTAGGGTTGATCGAGGATGGCCTCAAGAAAGTAGAGGTTGACGTTGAGACTTGAAAGTAAGACAAAGTGCTACTCTAGGCAATTGCCCCCGCGACAAACACAACTGGTGGTTGCTGGGAAGTCAAGTTGTGACACTCGAACACTCGGACACTCGGACAAATAAGGGCAATAAATCAGTAAAGTTGTGACCTTGATGGCAGTTTGTTGTTGCATGGCCGTCCGCCCAACCCACCAGAAAGGTGGCTAGACAAGTGGGATTCTCCAAATGAGTCGACAGATGAGACACGTATCAATTCTTGCAGCAAATCCTTAAATTGTGCCGTATTTTGTCCATTGGTGAAACATGCTGGTGTGTGTGTGTGTGTGTGTGTGTGTGTGTGTGTGTGTGTGTGTGTGTGTGTGTGTGTGTGTG